CTACCGAAATAACCGGCCTGTATACTACTACGATATTATATTCGCTCTGTGCAGCCAATTGTAAAAGAGCGTTTTTTTTTTCCATTGCGACGTTCGACGCGTCGTAATACAGGTACGGTGTCTAAACATTTCCCGGAAAAGTTGTCTGCGGAGCCGGGAATCCGACGAATTTTCGACGGCGGCCGACACGTTCGAGAGGCCAACGTCGAGCGGATTCATTTGGTTTTTCGAGGTACGCCCGGCATACATCCACCCGGCGTAACACAATTCATATTTCGTTTCCGTTTTCATGATATAATATTACAATAATCGCGAGTGTACGGTATCTGATAACAGACGCGTACGATATTACCCTCGACATATTTTGTGTTAAAAAAAAAAAGGTGGTTGTAGGCACGTTATAACGATAAATATGTAATCTAATAATAATAACACCAATGTATATCTTATTGACAGATTTAGTTTTTGGACGATTACGCCGTCTACCGGATAATATACACGACACGATGTAATAATGTCGGTATGGTGAGTCGGTAACAGATACATGGTAGTAATTACTTATCACTAATCAATTTATAACGCTGTATTATGAAAACCGAGTAGGACGATATTTGGTGGTGTAAATTTACGATAACGGGCCACGCTGAATATTTTGTATGGGCAAGGAACACCCTGGCCACTCCTCGGCTACAAGCCTGTAAAACGATATGCCGAAGAAACCGTTCTAGCGTTAATGTAGTCGCGTTTCTCGGACGTATTTTCCCGAATTAAAAAAAAAAAAAATATAGAAAAAACGATTCTAAGCAAATCTCAGTTAAATATTTCTTTTCGAGTGCCGTGATTTTTACGATTTTCGTCTCAACTTTAATACTTAAAACGTTATTAAATAAAAAAAAAAAATAACTACTCTACATTATGTCAGACTTTATTTTTGTTTTTTTTTTTCCGTGACACGTAAGTACATAAAACACAAAAACGTCGAGTCTTCGCGATTTTTTTCAACTGAATAATACAACCGGCAAAACAAAACCGCTCACCCTTAAGATCAGACGTAATTTGCTTACAGAACGAACGCCAAACGTCGTAATAAAACCAATATGTTCAGAAAAAAAATATTGTTTATTAACAATAATCGTTGAATACAACGCAAAAAAAACTTTGACGCGTTGATGACGAAATTACAACACGGATATTTTAGTGGCTAACCGATATCGGTAAATGTAATAGAAAACATACTTTTTGAACAATTGGTTCCTTCGACAATAGCGTTACTTCCAAGCCTTTTTTCTCGGGCCGTTTTGAAAATGTCGTTTCGAAATAGATTTGTGAATATTGCGTTAATTCACGTTCACGCGGGTAAGTGCGATAATATTTCACGCGGGCAGGTAGGAAGTCAGCGCCTCCGCGTTCCACGGTTACTGTCGGCTAACGGTAAGAATTAAATATTTATTTTAGTGCTGAAGTTAACAAACCCGTATGCACCGCCACGCCGTTCGCCGGCAATGAATGTATTTTTAATGCAGATCTTAGAGAACGTTTCAATGTACATAATAATAATAATACGTGTTTGCGAGCGGGCCTGCGACGACGGTTTATGTGTACGGTACGTATTAATTTAGAAGACTTTTGTATCGTGAAACGGAACTCGTACGACTTAACCTAAAAATTAAAGGCGTTACAACGACGTGCATAGCGTTAGCGAATATCGAGTGGGGGGGGGAGGGCTCGAGAATAATAAAATGCTATCCCAGCATAACGGGGAAGAGAGCAGCCGCTGTGGTAGGCGAGAAGTCGGGAAGGTAGGATATAATCGGGAATTTAATGTGTATCTTTAAGCGACGATTAAATATTGCTAACGAGAAAACGGTTCGTAGCGGAGTTCGATCGGTAGTCAACCATTTTCAACAACATGTATATCATTTTTTGGTAAAATAATTATATGCGTATTTTTTTTAATAATATTTGTTTAATATTGTGCAAATTTTCCCGTTTTTCCCATTTATTGGAAAAACTCGTGGGAAAATCAAAAAATTACCTCCCTTAAGTATCGCCCCAGGAAAATTGCCTTTCAGAAAAAATGCTATACTAGCTATACTTTGAAGCAGGATTTCCGGTAGAATTTTCGTACACAATATGAAAAATTAAATTAAACGTGATAAAATCATAAGCTTTTTCGCTCCACTCAGAATCTAAAAAAAAAAAAAAATAATAATACCTAAGTAAAAGGTGTGCGTGTAATGTTTTAAAAAATCTTTTTGAGTTTTTGACACTTTTATCGGTACTTAAAATGTTAATAACACGAAATACGAAGAAAACAATTCCCTATAGTGTAGCTCTTTAGAAAAAAAAAAAAACAAGAGAAAACTCCTACAAGTAGAACTATTTTACATTCTTTGAACTAAATCGGTAAAAAAAAAAAAAAAACTTCTATCTCGTAACAAAAAATCATAAGTGTTCGCGGAACCATTTGTTAGAATTCCTTATTATTATTATTATTATTTATTTTTTTTTCCCCGGCTCACTTTAATAGTAAAGTACCTACATAATACGAGAAATGTTAATACGACTGAAAAACTCGAGTAAATAAATCCACTCGGTATCCGGAAAAAAAAACCCCACACATTTTCCCGGAGTAAATTGATGTTTAAAACTCATTTGTTCCGCGGCCGTGCACGAACCATACGGAAATCGCCATCGTGTATTGTAAAAAAAAAGACATTTCGATGATAATTATTAAAACGGAACACACGCGCGCTTCGTGACGATCGGTGTACATTTCTGGAAGATCCGAACAAACGCTCGCGGACGGCCGCGTGTAAGGCGAAATGGCGGAATGGGAGCCGTATGCAATGTTCTAATCAAATTTTAGCGCGAATGTAAACGCGGAATAATGTAATTCGAGAAAAAATTAAATTGAATTATTTTGAAATTTTTTTTTATTTTTTTTTTTTTTCTAATCGAAAGTCGAATCGCGTAGTGATCCGGGCGTTTACAGCGCCGCCGTTACAAATCACGTCCGTTTATCGTTCGCCGTTTCGCTTCGTACGCAAAACTATAGTTCGCGGCTCATTAAAGTCAATTGATTTACATAAATAAACATTAACAAAAAAAAATACAAATACAAAATTATAAACGCATGCATAACGGGAAATCGGTTGATTATTCGCTGTTGAAAAAACGTCGCCACCGAACCGGCGACTATGCAATACGATATCACGGTCAGCGCGCCATTGTCAATACTGTGTATTTCCTCGCGTTCGCCACTGTTACGTCTTATCACACGACATCTGGATCCGATCAGTCACGTATTCGGTGGGGGAGGGGGAGGGAGATGACGGAGACGTATCTCGCCTCTTGGCATTTTTTTTTTAGGAGTTATACTAATGATTTTTCAACGTCAGTGTTGGGGCAGACGGAATTATAAAACACTTGCATACGGTATACAAGTTTAGAATTTTGATCCGTTTCTGTTTTCTCCTAAATACACGTTATTATAGAATCTATATAGCAAAACGTTTCAAAATTCAATCCGTTCCTCCTTAACACCAATCCTAAATACCCCACCGGATCCGATAAAAATATCGTTATTTTTCCATCGACAACGGATTGAAACCGTACGTTTACTTACGTACCTTTAACGTTGCAACTAGAAACAGCGACCGTTAGATTCCGGATGGAAGAAAAAGGCTATACTCGAATTCCTTTTACTTAGTTTTTTCCCTTTTTTTTTTTCCCCCTCGGAAGACGTTTCATCGGTTATTGTAAACGCTCAATACCATTCACGCCGTTACACCTGCGTTTTTTTTCTCCCGGTGACGTTTTCTTTGAAACTTTTTCTATATTACCGACGTTTTATCCGAAAAATTTTTCACATTCTCCTTCGCTTTCATTCAAACCGTTTGGGGTCGGCTGCCCACGTCTTAAACTTCCACTTGACCCAATCACCACCTCGAGTACATCGACTGTCTTCGTGTCATTCTCAATCGGACCCAATTACCACTATTCGGTTTCCTCTCCACCTCATCCATCGTACCTAAATGCTCATAACATTTCTTACTGCTTCAGATCCCTCTTTTCTCATGACGTATCCTGACTATCTCAGTCTTTTAGATTCTAAGCGGAGCGTGGAATTCCTTGATTTTAAAATTATGTTTATTTAACATTAGACTGTGAATAACCTTTCTACCAGAAATGTCAATCCGATTTTCCAGTGTAAACAGAAAATTGACTAAAACGGTACTTAAGAGAAATCATTTTTTGAAAGATAAATGTATTTGTATTGTATATCGGCGATCACAATCCTGTTGATTAGTTTATAGTAAAATTGTGAGTATAATTTAATCACGTCTATTTTCTATTATTGTTTGCAATATTATCACCACAATTTTTTATTGTAATTTTATCGTTGTTTTTTGTCATACAAACAAACAAAACGCGGCTGTCTATTTACGTACAGGTAACAGATGTCCTACGGTATTATCGGAACGCTAATAGCTCATCAATATTCATTTTTTTTTTTTTATTTTCATCCCTCATTCACTGAAAAAAATTACTTTATTTGTTTAGTTTTTAATAATTTCAAAATAGCCGATTTCTAAAATATAATATTACAAACAATTTAGTGTATCGCGCATTCATATCCAACCGACAATTTCTTAGTCGTAATACAAGGTAATGGAATACGATAACGCACATCGTAAAAAACCCGCCCACTGAGAAAATATTCTGGACGGGACGGGTGCTTGGAATTCACTTAGGTGGAAACGCCGCCACCGAATGGTTGACCAATCTGGATTTCCGATCGTAAGTTATCATTTTTAATTACCCGCAATACGATTTCTGTGTGTGTTTATCTATTTATTTATTTGCTGTTCGTCAGGCCGACGCAATACGCTAATACGGTAAAAGTAATACAACTGTTAAATGATAACAATTTTTCGGCTGTCGCTAAGAAGCCGTTGAACGGATACGAATATCGACAGAGTTATCAGCATTCGGATAACACTGCAAGACACCCTGTATATATATATGTGTGTGTGTGTATATCACAGTTCCGAAATTTCAATCCCGTAAATAAACACCCTAATCGATGTATCGTAGAGTTTACGGTAATACAGTTATATACGAATATGCTTGGAAACACGAATATTAGTGAAAAAGTGCAATTTCTAAAATGTAACTGTACTGTGAAAACTAATGCCAATTAAATATTCGACTACTCTGTCGTTGTTTTTACTCTGTTTCGCGCTGTTTGTACTGTAGCGTTGTGCCTCGACTGTACTAGTTAGCGAACGTAACGTGCGACTGAATTTTACATTTAGTACGAATACGTAGGTATTCGTCATCTTCACGCGAGTTTTCATAGTATTCATTTGTGCGTGGGCTCAGGGTTCATTTTTTACAAGTCGTTGTGACGAAAAGAGAGGAAAACACCGAGAGTGTTGTTCTTTACAGTCGTGGCTGGTAACACGACGTGGTAAACAGACGTGAATGCTGTCGTTACCGCGAGCTATGGTTTGAATTTTTAAACATCGCGTCTGACAATACTTTTCGAGAAAACATAATACAATAAAATATGTATACGTAGGAGGGATGTCAACAATATTTTCGCTGATACATTTCGGATGGTCGTGAAGACGGTCGAATATTATGACCAATGGCCGCGGACAGTCGGTACCTCTACGCCGTCAAATCAAAAGCTTTAAACGTAATAAAAAAAAAACGGTATCACGTAATGTATTTAACATTAGGAACTCGAGACGTTATAATAATGTTTCAATTTAATATTCTCGTCGATATATTGTTATTATTTTTGACCGACAATCGGGATCGAAAAACTAGGCGAAAATATTGTGTTTTTAGCGGTTTTTTCGGTTTTTTTTTTTTTTTTTTTAATACGGCCGTTGCGATAAAAATAAAATACACTGAAATGTCTCCCGTGAGATTTTCAGTCAAAAAAAAAAAAAAAAAATTAAAATATAAATAAATATTACCTACGCGGTTTTCTTGAAAAATTATACGCTAAAATCTCAAAAAACCACTTTATAACGGACCCCCCCACCCCTCCCGCCCGTAAGGCGGAAATCTCCTCGAAACGGAAAACGACAATACAGTTCTACGCAGCTTGTGTAATGCTCGTTCGTACTAGTCTCCCGAATCTTTTATAACGGGAAAAGTCAGTCGGTACCGCGCCGGAATCCGTTATGTTAAAGGGGTTTTACCGCGCTCGTTTGTTTTTTGATAAATTTAATTTGTACTGCAAACCTCGCCCGCGTCAGCCTTTAATACGGTCGACCCCTTATTACCCCGCCGCGAATGCGCTTCATATTCAAACAGACCCCGTCCCGGTCGCATACACGCGTTCCGGTATCCGTTTCCAGCGTCCGGGCAAACGTTTCGCGACCGCGGTCGGTCCGTTCCTACCGCGCGCTAATCCGTAATCGCGCCGCGCTGCTCTTGCGGTCGGCGCATCGACGCGCATCGACGGCCACACACGTTCGGCCGACGCGGCGTCCGTGCGGACCATTGTCGTCGGCTCAGTCGTCGACCGCGTCGTAGCGAATATGCGACGCGTTTTTATTTCCGTACGTTCCCTTACCCCCCGCCCCCCAACGACCATCCCGCGATCTGGAAAATCGAGGTCGTTCTCGAACGGAGACGGCGAACGCGGAGCGATTTTACGCCGACGGCAATGGTTAGCGGCGAGAGGTCCGGGAACGGTCTCCGGCCGCTGATGAGCAGGAAAACGGAATTCACGCCGAAACACCGGGGGAAAAAACAAAACAATTTTTTTTAAAAAATGTTTCCGTAACATTTTTACACCGGTAAATATTCCGTCCCGGAGTACACCGCGCGTTTTCCATACGTTCTCGCCGACCGTTTATCACATCAACCCGCCGCCACTGGTCCGCACTGACGGCACTGCGTGACATCTACGACCGGTTCGTTAATCGTGAATTACTAAAGTCACACCGACCGGTTGTACGTAAACTAACGGGACGGCGGGCGGGATTTCAATGTTTCGAGATACGTAAATCCGACGTCGGTCGATTACCGTTCCCCTTGTCGGCTTGCCGGAGAACGCGGCCGGCGGCGAGCGGACGGTTGCCGCGCGAACCGCCCGCGGTCAACGCGAACCCGCCGACCAGATACGGCCCGGTGCCGAAACGCGTCCCGGAACGCCGAAACGCGTCCCGGCCGATAGCCCGGCGGGTCGGTGCGGTGTCGGGCGGGCACGCGGCGGCGGACCCGTTATTTAAACGTCGCGCGACCCGCGGTACAGGTACGCGGCACGCCCGTCACGATAAATCTAAATAAGCCGGTAAACATTGTCGTCGTTGACGTCGCCGCCGCCGCCGTCGTCGTCGGTGACGGCGTTACCGTGTCGCCGCGACGACGATCGATCGCCCGTGACAGCCGACCGGACGACCTGTCGATTTATCGCGGACCCGTCTTTTCATTGTCCGGTTTACGAGACGTTATTGCGCGTCCGCCCGCGTTGTTGAATTCGCGTCGACAATTACCGGCGGCGTTTTCTACGCGCGCGCGCGCGAGTGTAACGACGCGGCGATAAATCGGACCGCACGGAACGGGAGGACGGTATTTGCGGGAGGGGGGGGGGAGGGCAACGGCACGCGTGTCTCGGGCGAATCGCCTTTCCCTTCCCCCCCGCCCAGTCCCCCGCCCCGAACAGCGAACACGGCGGAGTCCGGCCGAGTTCCTCGTGAACGCCGCCCGGCCTTCCCGTTTTCGCGTCCCGTTTTTCGTGTACGCGAGCCGTCCCCGCGGTCGTCGCGAACGCCGTTTTCCGGCACGAATCAGTGATAAGACAAGACCGGCGGTCGAACGGACCGTTGACGACACCCGTAAATCGAATTGTATTTTTCAACACGACGATTGTCCTACGGTCTTATCGCGTGCGTTCGCCCCGGGAATTTTAACGCGATAACAATTCGACTCCCGCAATGTGGTCTTAAACGGCGATTTGTCGTAATATAAATAATAATAATAATAATAAAGAAAAAAAAAATTATAAAAATACCCGTCAGCGCGTCCGTGTGCGATTTCGTTCTGTTTGTCTGCGGGACGGGATGCGTTCGGGATAAAATTTGACCCGCCCGGAAGCGATCGGGCGAGCCCGCCGGGTGTGCGACGCCGCACACAAGAGCGACACGATTATAAACGACGCCGCAGGACGCCCGCGTAATTATCGTAAAAACTCACCGTTGGCTGTTCGGTATCGTCAACCGCGATCGGATAACGAAAACGGCGATTTCCCCCGCGAGTAACGGTACCGTCACTGATCTTCTAAACTCGGCGATGTTATCGTAATTTCGAATTGTCGGGTCCGTTCGGTTATCGGAAACGCGAACCCGTATGACCGACGGCGTGCCGGTCGTTAGTATTTATCGCCGCAGTTCGTAGTCTGTAATTGTTGCGAGCCGCGTGCCGGACACGGACCGTAAAATCGAAAACGCCTTTACCGCGGTACGAAACAAACCGCGACGCGTTTCCGTTGAAAATGTTTGTGCCGCACTCGCGGGATTCGCAGACTCGAGTCTGTCGGAACGACAGAGAATACGGACGCGTACAAGTCGCCCGAACACATTAAAATACATTTTGAAATCGCTCGTCTAAACGTGCCGTGGAGGAAACGCCCAAACGCAAATGCGATTTTTTCCTTTTTTTTTTTACAAATTCGCGAGGCGAACGCAAATCGCCCGTGTAACAGAACGCCGCCGCCGCCGTGCTGCGCGGTAATACGCTGCAATAAAATCGCGTGTCGGGTTCTTTTCCGCCCTCCGGCAAAATCGCTATAATTTTCGGGGGCGAACACTTTGTCAAAGAGCGTTATCGTCGGAAATGGGTTTGCACCCGTCCGCGGAAAAAAATAATAAAATAAAACGGAATAAAAAAATATCGTCCATCATTAATATGACAGACGAGTAATTCGATAAATAGTGTTACGCGCGTGTGTACAAGGAGATTGTTGTGTGTCTGCGAGACTTCGGCGATTCCCCCCTCGGTATTATTATAGTGCACCGATGTGTCTACCTCGGCGTTTTGAGCATTCAGTTCGATTTTCCTTTCGTTTCCCCGGTCGTCGAACAGAATTGTGTTAAAATCGTATTTACAAAAAAAAAAAAAAGTCGCGAGTACATACATTTCGCATTATCATCCGTCGCGTTCATGAACCGGACCCCTCCGTGCTCGTCCGCCCGAAATTTCAGACCGCTTTGCACAGTGTACGGTTTTTTTTTTTACAAGCAGTACGTCTGACATTAGTATTCGTTTGTTTGTTGTCGATTTTTAACGGGCCAAAAGCCCGACGCATGCGCGCAATAATAATCGAAAAACGAGTAAAAATAATTGCGCGGTTACAGAATAGCGATAGGGAAAAACATAAAAAACAACCGTAACTGCAGATAACCTCTAACAACGGCGTAGTCGAAAAACGGCCAAATACGATCGAAATTAAACGGACCGATTCGACGGGTGCCGTCGGCTAATCCCGTCGACCCGAACGAGCGTGTTTTTATAGCGCGTCGTTCGGCCCGCGCAGCCGTGTGCGAAAAGCACGCGCGGACCCGCGGTCGGTCGTCCGGGTGGACGTGCACGGGACCAAGCGATTCCGGACCGCCCGCGTCGACCGATCCAGACGGGCACGTGCGAGCCGGCCCAACGGGCCCGTTCGCGTTTCGGCGCGCCCTGATAACCGGATCGTGCGGCGGACGAGGCGCGCGCGGCAAACGCGAGCCGTTCGGTACGCGCCGTTCGGGATTCTATCGCAGACGTCACAACACTCGGCGGCGTCCGTCGAACCCGTCGATTCCGCGTCCGGACGCGGAATCGACGGCCCGCGAACGCGCGAACGTACCGTCGTTCGGTGACGTCCGACAAAAACGCGCGTACGGCCGTCGCGAAGTCGCGGACGGTCCGCGACCGCGGCCCGCCCGGCCGCCGTGTCGCGTCGACGCGTCCGACGGGTAAACGGCGAAAACCGGGAACGCCGCGCGACTCCGGGATTTATTCGCCCGGAGTACCGCCCTGTATAACGCGCGCGCGTTATACCGAAGTTCGCGCGGCGAATCGCCGTGATAAATCGTTCGAGATTAAATCGGTCGCGGGCCCGCGTTCGCGAGCGGAGTTGTTTTGCGGACGCCCCGTCGCCGAGTGCGTTCACGGTCGTCCGCGTGCAGCCGTCTCGTTTTACGATTGTTATCCGCCGTGTAAATACGCATAATATCGTAATAAAATAGCGCGCGCCCGGTCCGTC